AAAAGAAACTCATGTCCATTAAAATGATATAAAATGACAATATTAAGATTTAATTTTGTAGAAATAGAACATTCTAAATACGACAACTATAGTTTTTAAATACGCTTGCATGTAGTACTGAAATGAATATGATATTGTATGTATATGATAACCGTATATCAGTAGTCCAGTTTTTTACTTATGCTGAAGCTAACAAAGCCTTACTTGTAGTGTTCGGAGCAGCAGCTGTAGTGACTGGGGTTGGAGAAGGTCCTTTTGTTGTTGTTACTGAAAACGTAATAATTAAAATAAATATTCAAATCAATAACCGTTGGTGTTTTGTTTCTTATGGGATGCCTGTGGTGTGTATAACGCACTGGTTAGTAAACACTCCTTTGAGTGTTTACTAGAGAGTGCGTTACCAACGGTTATTGATTTGAATTTAATCGGCTATCAGTTTACAGCGCAGATCTGATTACAGCTTATGTAAAAGGAACTGATCACAACACAGGAAACCCACAAAGAGCAAAGTTAATTTTCTAAAAGAAGTAAAAATTATATAGCCGGGTTCCCTGTGGTGGAGTCAGAGTGCGTAGGTTCGTCTATATTATATAGCCAAACAATGAAACCTGATTTCCTAGTTTACATTTCGTGGTTAAATAAGGTCATGCATCTCTACATGGGGCTAGGTTTTTGATTAAAACAGATTGTGTTGGTTGATATCGATGGCCCATAACCATCTGTAGTATTATAAACTATCTATCAATTTATTATCATTATTATTGAGAGCAAAGTTATAAAGTTGCCTAACAATATAACAACATTTCGTGTTGTTGTCGAAATACTACAAAGACTACATTATGCTTCGTTATATTGAACCCAGGCGTTGATGTTTGCTGTTAAGTCAGTGATCATCCAGGTGAGTGTGGGGGGGGGGGGGGGGGGGGGGGGGGGGGGGGGATACCACTCCAACTTTACATACTCTACCCCAGACTAAAACTAAGAACTGTACACCTTTACTAACATTTTTATTGTTTTTGTGTGGGCAGAAAGCGTTGCCTATTCACCAGACAAAAACGACCCAATCCTAATCCTATCCCAGACTAAAATGATACCCTACCCCAGACACAAAAGCCAAAAAACCATACCCTATAGAGCTTTCGCTCAGGTTGTCCAGAGGTAAGTCACCAACAACAACAGTCTTTCTCAACACAACACTCACCCTGTCGATAACACTTCACAACAAAT